CAGTTATGTATTATGTCGTTGTTTTATGTATGAAGTTATTGTCTGAATATCGATATACACAAACTAAAAGGTACAAATTCCTTAAGTTTTGTTCATGAGTGTATCTTTCAGAGTTATTGTCTGAATACCGATATACACAAACTAAAAGGTACAAATTCCTTAAGTTTTGTTCATGAGTGTATCTTTCAGAGTTATTGTCTGAATCCCGATATACATGCTAAAAGGTACAACTTCCTTAAGTTTAGTCCATGAGTGTATCTTTCAGAGTTATTATCTGAATCCCGATATACATGCTAAAAGGTACAAATTCCTTAAGTTTTGTCCATGAGTGTATCTTTCAGAGTTATTGTCTGAATCCCGATATACACAAACTAAAAGGTACAACTTCCTTAAGTTTTGTCCATGAGTGTATCTTTCAGAGTTATTGTCTGAATCCCGATATACATGCTAAAAGGTACAACTTCCTTAAGTTTTGTCCATGAGTGTATCTTTCAGAATTATTGTCTGAATCCCGATATACATGCTAAAAGGTACAACTTCCTTAAGTTTTGTCCATGAGTGTATCTTTCAGAATTATTGTCTGAATCCCGATATACATGCTAAAAGGTACAACTTCCTTAAGTTTTGTCCATGAGTGTATCTTTCAGAGTTATTGTCTGAATCCCGATAAACATAGTAAAAGGTACAACTTCCTTAAGTTTTGTCCATGAGTGTATAACACATTTAGACGTCTCTCAGACCATATTAGACCTAACCAAAAGAGATATTTCCAGAAAAGTAGGCCAGACGTCTACATTTGTATTCCTCCATTGTGTACCATTTGTTTTGATGTCATTGAAAAGCCTGTCTGAGAAATGTAAGGTTCCCTTCATCCTTTCTTGACATCAAGGCCTTCCCAACATCGTGTCCTTTCGAACAAGAAAAACTTGGAAACCTTTTTTTGCTATGTTTGGTTTCCCCATGTAGCTGCCTTGTATGCTAATGACTAAAACCTGCACTCGGAAAACATAAATACAAATCTTAATACCAATTTTTAGTTGAAGATGAATATATGATAAAAAATTATTAGAAACGCGTAAAGATATTCTTTAGAAGTATAAATGAATACGGTGGCTTCTACTTAACAACTGAAGAATTAACAAATTCTTCTTATTTCTTATCTCCACTCAATCATATTAAGGTATCAAGCTTGTAAAGCTTGTTGATGGTGTCTGCTGGGGAAGAGTAAAGCTCAATGGTTGAGTCAATACAGTCAATAATGTGTTTTGGGGATGCAGGTTGAGAATTGCACTTAGTACATAGTGGGAATACCTTGCAACCCCATTCTGGAAAGTCATTGTCCTTAGAGCTGCTTCTCCAGTCAAAAACCTCTCCTCAAGAGCATTGCTAAGTCTGTAAACCGACTCCAAGCCAACAGCTCTGTCACAGTGCAATGGCTTCCAGCTCACGTTGGAATTCCTGGTAATGAGCTAGCAGACTCTCTAGCAAAATCTGGAGCTCTTGGCCAACCTGAAGCCAGAGAATCTACCATCCAACTAGACGAAAGAGACCTCCTCCGTAACATCATGATGAACAAATTAATTATAACTATTAAGACATTATATCCTGAATTTAGACAACCCTCTACCCTTGATCCATCCATGTATAATACTATAATATAAAGATTATATACATATTTATATGATACATGTCCATCCCTGCCTTTATATATAACAATCAACAAGCAATCCAATGGCCAGGTTTATTTAAACTTTTTTTATTTATCAAGATTTTTAGGGTCACAACACACAATATACCTTTCAACAGGAGATCTAGTAGTAACACTTCTAACCAATTATACACAACATCTTCATTTTCGGCTTTTGTATATTTTTTTTATCCTGAATTGCTTATTAATTTTGTTAAATATATATTCATGTCTCTCTCTCTTGTATATAATTTTATACTAAGCCCTTCCTTCCCCCCCCTCTATTTGATACACTGTAAATAACATTGCAGATTACTGGGGTACTATTACTGTTATTCTCTCCTATATGTACCCTACATTTCTGTCCTTGGAGAATCTGACACTAAAAGGTCTTAATAAAGCTTTTTTGTTGTTGTTGTAAATATTCTCTTTAAATATATAAAATAAAAGATTAATGTGTATGACTATTCGAACTTATATAACAACATACATGTATGTTATAATAGATTTGGCTCGGCTTTCTATTATATTAATATATTTTGTTGAAATGAGAGATTAATTGCTGGTTCCTTTGAGTACGTAATGGCATTGTTTGTAGTAGTGTATCTTGAAAGAAAAGCAGAAGAATAATTATTTACTTTCAAGTAGTTCTATTTTAAATTAGAAGCAATAAAATGATTATTCTTCGAGTGTGAAAGCTTGTAAAATATAGGATTATTAATCCTCTATTATTATTTTGTTTATTTATCTTTGTCGTCTGTTTTTAAACAAGTTGAATGTGGTTATAACGATGTATGTAAATTAGATTATTGTTGCCTTAAATACGAGGTAATTAACTCTCTCTATATCTAAAAATGTTTAATGAATTAATTTTATAAATCTGAGAGTTGTCTTTAAAAACGATTCAACAAAATTACTAGAAAATTTTCAATAAGTCATTTTTCTCACAATTATATAGTATTTAGAAATTAATTCTATATTAGTGAATTTTTAAAATAGGTTAGTTAACTACATACATAATTAAAACAATTATAAAAGTGGCATATTCTAAAAACTATGGTCAAAAATTATGTAGAATAGCAATGAATAAAATATATATATATATATTTTTAAATCATAAAATATTTTCATACATAGATTCTATAATATATAGAATATACTAATCAAACGTAATACTTAGGAGCTTGTGAAGTTTTTCCAATAGGAGAATCGAGAACAAAATTGTATTCGCTTCTTTCTCAGCTCAGGGACTTAAAGAGTTTCTTAAAAGGATAACGAGGTCTATTTGGACAAATGAATTGTCCTTCAAAAAGATTGATTAAAAAACTAATTAGCAAAGATCTAATCAATAAACAATCAATATAATTGTCTTTAATATCAATAGGTCAGTTGGTGTTCTACCTTTAAAGGAATACTTCCCACTGAAACATTGTTTATCTTGATAATGGCAACAACTTGTACCTTCATCCTATACCATGTTCTTTCTTATTACAGTGATATAATTTTAACTTGTCCTTTTGACAGATTCTTGTTGTATATAGTATAATCTGTGTAAATATAAAGATCCGGCAACACTGTTGGCTCATATATATATATAGCCAAGCAATACAGCCCCACGCTAGATGAAATACATATTTATTGTATCTTAATTGATTGAACCAACAGTGTTGCCGGATCTTTATATTTACACAGATTATACTATATACAACAATTCTTAAAGCGTACCAAACGATCTTGAATAAGCTAACTACATCAGAATTCTTGAAGAAGGAATAAAAGTTAATTATAATAATTATTAATTTAACGAATCATTTTACAAATAGCATTTTTCATTCGTCAAAAGTCAAATGTTTTATTTCCTTAAATTGATCACAATTTTCAAATCTGTGGCATTTATTTGACTTTTTAACATGTTTGAAATATTCCGTGAGCTTACTTCATTAAAAGAAATGTGCGTATTTTTAGATTCCAAATATATTTTAAACACGCCACACTTCTTTCCCCCCTCAACACAAATTGCATTTAAAAACCCACTTTTTCAACATTAGATTAAAAAAAAATCACTTATCATATTGTCTTATAATTCTAATTCAGTTCGATGGTTAAATTAAAAACATGAAGCTTTATCATATATAATTTTATCATTACTCTTCACAATTCATCCTTTCATACTTCATCTCTAAGGTTAGAAATAATCGTTATTTCTCCTTAAAATAAATTTCGATATACGTTCAAAAGAAACACATGCGGGATAATTTTCAAATGTCGTTCTACAATCATAAGCCGCATTATATTGTATTATATCAATATATAATTATAAGTTTTTTATGATGCATTAGCGCGCCATCTGTAATGAAAATTTGAAACTATTATAGACACGTATGATTCTTTTAAAAATTCAACAATTTCTACTGTCCTTACTGCAATGGAAAAATTATCTGGGATGGTTTAACCACTAATCAGCCAGGCCCTCCCATTAATTTTTCCATTGCAGTAAGGGCAGTAGAAATTGTTTTAATTTTTAAAAAGAATCATACGCGTCTATAGGTTTTTATACATAACTAGCGGATGTACCCGGCTTCGCCCAGGTTTTTCTCGAGGGAATGTTTGTAGTCTAGTAATAAGAAAATATACTACACCTAAAAACTATCAGAGAAAAGAGAAACCACGGAAGGTGAACAGAAAAATGCTTACAATGGATGTTATGTTTACGATATCAAGTTAAATAAAAACAAATATAAAATTTGCATATGTTGGTCACTATAAATTTGTATATTTGTTAGGCGAAATTAGAAACATGATAAAACAATTGGGTATTTAAAAACAAATGTAGAAATAAAAGTTGAAGTATAATAAACAATGTTGAAGATTAGTTTTAATTATTAATCAAGATTGTGTGTGAATATGTGAGAAAGATGTAATATCGTTGTTGTTTTCTTGGCCGACTGTTTTACATATGGTGTTATCTTAAAATTGCTTGTTTTGAATATTTTTAGATTGAGATTATTAGCTAGTATGTAAAAAAATTAACTCTGTTGAAATTTAATTTTGTATTTATATATAAATAAAATTAACTCTGTTGATTTTTTTTTTGTATTTAATCGATAACAGCGAAGTTACGCATGTTAATGTTAGGAAATATATTTTGATGTAAAGCAAAACCTGCTCCATCTCGTTTTACATAAATGTTGAAAATTTGGTTGAAATTGATGCATTGTAACGAAAGTTTTTAGCGATGTCCACTTATGAAATTTCCATTTTATTAATATAGATAGATAAAATAACACGTTTAAAAATATTAATTTAGGAAGATATAAAGGTAGCTTAGTGGACATGGCATCTGCCCGGTAAGCGGAACACTGTGGGTTCGATTCCCATTCCAGGACACTTTTATTTTCCGTTTATCATTACTCTTTACAATTCATCCTTTCATACCTCATCTCTAAGGTTAGAAATAATCGTTATTTCTCCTTAAAATAAATTTTGATTTCTCGTTCAAAAGAAACACATGCGGGATAATATTCGAATATCGTTTTACAAACACAATCCGCATTATATTGTATTATAAATTGTCTATAAATTTATGAAAAGTTAATTTTTCTTGTTAATACTTTCATTGTCTTTTGCAGAGGCCCAACTTTCTGAAATTATCATCATCCTTTTATATTACGTTAAATGAGGAAGATAAGCAATTGTGAATTTACAAATATAGATAAAGAATTCTTCCTGGATTGAATTTAGAGGATAAAAACATGGCGAAGGAAGACAAGTTTATTTTATTGATGCATTAGAGCAAGCTTTCGGGTAAAAGCCCTTCAACAGGCAAGATAAAAACGACACTATGAACGATACCGATGGCTGTAGTGAATATATACATACACATATTAATTTACATAAATATAGAAGAATTAATATGTGTATGTATATATTCACTACAGCCATCGGTATCGTTCATAGTGTCGTTTTTATCTTGCCTGTTGAAGGGCTTTTGCCCCAAAGCTTGCTCTAATGCATCAATAAAAGAAACTCGTCTTCCTTCGCCATGTTTTTATCGTCTAAATAAGCAATCGTAAAATCTTAAGGATTTCTTATTAAAAAAAGAGTTATAGTTGAATATTGAGCATATACTCTTTATTAAATTAAGTTTTAGGGTCTCGAGATATCATTCAACCAGCACTTATCATCCACCACGCACGTATATTTTCAAAAAACTTGTTTTTCAAACAGAAATAATGTAATATATTTTTCTCTCTCAATATATAATAAGTATTTAAAATATGTATATAATAATGTGTATATAAAAATTGTATTTATTATTAAGTTATTAACGTGATAATCCTGTTGAAGGACTGACAAGTCCGAAAACTTGAAAATGAAGTGTTGCACAAGAAACTTAACCCTGGAAGCTTCATTTAATTTATAATATACTTTTTATGGAAACATATACAGCTTAAATATTACACTATGCAGTTTGTATGAAACATAATTATATATTAATTTATAATTTAATTAAAAAGGCATATATTGGATCAAAATATCATTTATTTTACCAATATTTCAGTTGGCTGAACGCCAACCTTTTTCAAGGTATTATAACATATTAATGTGTGTCAACAGCAAACTCAGCGCCACATAACGTCAATAGAATTATGTTTTTAAAAAATACTTTGCCTATATTCAATGGGGAGAGAAAAAATTCTATTTTATTTTCAAACGATATTAATTTATATAACTACTTTTATAAAAATATATATTGTAACACAGTATTTATTATTTTATTAGCAGAGCATTATTTTTTATGTTTATATTTTGCTATATTCTGTACACTTCCCTCTTTTGCTTATCTTTTGTTTACCATTCATAGTTTGTTCTTGCCTGAAATAAATTGTTGTCTCATCCTGAAGTTTTGTCTTCCCTAATTTTCCACGTGGCAATATCTTTAAACCATCAAAATTCTGATCAATGACGCAAATATAAAATTTAAATTGAAAAATTGGAGAGTAATAAAGAAAAAAAAAACACGTTTGTATTTCTTTTATTAAAAAAAAGTTCAAAAAAAAAAAGAATTTTTGTAAAAATTAAATAAAGGCCGGAAATTTGGTAGAACTATGCAATTACCTTAATTACATACATTTTAAGAAAGTATTGAAGATTCCCGACTTCAAAAAAGAAAGAAAAGAACAAAGGAGTGGCAAGCTGTAATTTACATATTCTCAGGAAAAAAATTATGATATCTATAAACGGAAAAGAAGCATCTTTCTTATAGGCCTAATGATTTTGAAAGGCACTTACAAATAAGGTCTTTCTAGAAATTTCTAATTGGTTGTAATAATTCTATTGTGGTACAATCGCCATTTTAGAATTAGTAATTCGTTAAATGTTTAATTGCTATTCAAGTTGAAAATTAACAAAAAAAACTATATTTTCTGAATTAAAAATGTTGTAAGAAAGATCGTCTGTAAATTTAATTAAAGGAATAAAAAAAAAAAAATGGGATTCTCAGATTCATACTATCTCATCATTTAGGCATTTTTCAATGTCCTCTATTATTACAGATAGACAGGTGTCTGAAAATTTTAAGCGACCCCTCTTGTAGAAAGTGTTAAGTAACTTGTAACAACTTCCTGTAAGAATATGTTGCATTTATAATTCCAAATTTAATTGCTGTATTTCTCTCTCGCTTATGAATGATGCGATGATTATGATGATAGCTGTGTGTTCCTAGAATTATCGTTTGGTTTGAAAAAGAAAAAAATTGTAGGAAGTAAATATTTTAGCTTTAGTAATTTTTTTTTTCGATATTTCAAAATTATTTTTTAAAAATTCAAAAATGTAATCTCATAGAGAAAATATTTAAAAGATTATTGTTATTTATGAAAATAAAAAACCTTTTTTAAGAAAAATATTTCTGAGAGAAAACTCAAAATGTTATTTAATTAATTATTAGAAATATTTATTTTCATATATTTTATATTATCATATTATAACGTAGTATTTATTAATTTTATTTATGTAACATAGTATTTCTTAATTTTATTATTTTTTATTTAACAGAGTGGTCATTTTTATGTTTTATATCTTGCGACTCTGTAAATTTCCCTCGTGGCTTATCTTTTGTTTACTTTGGATAGTTTGTCCTTCCCTGAAATAAATTTTGTTTCCTCCTGAAGTTTTTGTCTTTCCTAATTTTCTACGTGGCATTTTGGTGGAGATGCTGGGTAAGTTAGGGAAGACAAACTGAAGACCGCCGAGAAGACCTTGAAGCCATGGGTGCTGTGATCTACATTTTCGGAGACTGACTCCAGGATTCCACCGCCGTGCTAAAGCCAGGACTTCCCTCGAAGATGACGATGTCCCTATAGACGATACGACGACAAAGACGCTCTTCACGCCGCAAGAAAATGGACGCAAAGGTACTAGGGACAAAGTTCCAAGACTTCGATGGAATCCTTGGCAGAAGCACGTCAAATCCACGTCAGTATCTACAATAATTGCTAGCTGTGGGTCACAGCTCCCATAGGGAAGAAGCTATATAACGTAGTATTTATTAATTTTATTTATGTAACATAGTATTTATTAATTTTATTATTTTTTTATTTAACAGAGTGGTCATTTTTATGTTTTATATCTTGCGACTCTGTAAATTTCCCTCGTGGCTTATCTTTTGTTTACTTTTGATAGTTTGTCCTTCCCTGAAATAAATTTTGTTTCCTCCTGAAGTTTTTGTCTTCCCTAATTTTCTACGTGGCAATATATTTCTTTTCTATATTCTCAAAATAAAATGTTAGTTAGTTTTAAAATTTTAAGGCAGCATTTTTAAAGCACATATAACATTTTAAATCTCATTATCACCATTTAGAAGTTTATTAGAAAATATTTGCTCTTAATTTTCAAAATTATAAAAATTTCGATTAATTTTTAATAATTTCACATTAAGAGTAGATAACGGTTCATTTTAAATTGAAAATTGGCATTAAATATATTTTTATTTGTTATATCACTGTGAAATGGAATTTAATATCAGAAGAAATTAGAAAATATCGTAATAAAAAGGTTGATTGAAGTTATTAAAGTTTAAATATTATTAAACAACTTTAAAATGACTTCTTAAAGTTTGAAATCCACTCATGTTAAATGTTTAGCATATCACATTCTCATATATAGGTTTTTAACTTTTAATTAGACAATTTAAATTTATATTTAAACATTTTTCATTTCAATTTAGACATTTTCATTGTAATTTAGACACTTTCATTGTAATTTAGACACAAGGTCTTTTCTATAAAAAGTCCATGTGTCTAAATTAAAATGAAAAATGTCTAAATTAAAATGGAAAATGTCTAAATATAAATTTAAAATGTCTAATTAAAAGTTAAAAAGCTATATATGCACTTCTATTAAGAATGTACTTATTGAAATAAAAAATATTCATATTCAAAAATAATTATGAATTCCTTAAAAAAATTAAAAAGATATATATTTAAATCAATATTTTTTAAACAAAGGAATCGACACTAAAACTTGTAATAAGTTGAGATTAGTAAACAAGATTATGTGATAGGAATATATAATCATTTTAATATTTAAAAAAAAAAGTATATTTATAATTTATATATTATTATTTTTGACACACACACAGTATATATATATTTAAATTAAAAAGGCATATATTGAATCAAAATATCATTTATTTTACCAATTTATCTATGTATTTTATTATTATTATTTTATCCAATATATGCCTTTTTAATTAAAGATTTATTTATAGATTACTCTATTTTTTCAAAAAATATAAATATTTTTATTAATTCAAAAAAAGTTTAAACTCATTATATAATATTATTTATATACATTTAGATTATAAAATAAAATATTCTAAGACTATATTTTGAAAATAAAACTAAATATAACTAGCGCAATATTATTTGGAAAAAAATATCTAAACACAAATTTAAACTTTAAAAATATCAAGAATTTGACTTTGGGGAAAACTTTTCGAAATCTTATTTATTTTTAAATAAATCAAATAATAACACAAACTCGATTTAAAAAACGAAACAATTTATATTTATTAAATATTAAAAAATATAATTCGAAAAATATATATACTTATTGTTTTAAACATAAATAAATATTATTGTTATCTCTATTATTTTTATTAGCTATCAGACAATATTTTATAAAAAAGCTTTAAAATAATATTGTTTTTTTTTTAATGCAAAAACGTTGAAATTTCTGTTTGTACTATTCTAAAAATAGAGCTAAATTTTATATAAGAATTAAATTTTAATTCTATTATCATTTACAAAGCACGCGATATCCATCTTGGATATTTGCATACATACACAAGTTTGGGAGCTTTTACAGTAATTATTAATCTGATTTTAGTTATTAT